GAAAGCACATCATGTTTGTTTTCTTTATTTTATAAAAGCACAACGTTTTGTTGATATTGTGAGTGCACACAAATAAATGTAGACCCTTTACAGTTACGAATGATGTATTACTCTTACCTTTATGAGCAAAAAATTACGGCGTATCCACTGAAAAAAAAAGCAAGTGATCGCGCTGGCGCCTCCATGTCCTGCAAAGCGCGCTTTAGCTTGCACTCTCCGCGCAAACTATTGAATATAGCCACATTTATCTAGGTCTAACGTTTAAACATTGTTATATGCTTGAACTGTTTTATATCTATAGATTTTATTTTAGGCAAGTCCTGATGATTTGAGAAGGCTAAATTGATCAAACATAGGCTCACTGTCTGCCGCTGTTACTTTAAAAAACAAAAACTTATATTTAACGAACAAAAAAAATGCTCGAAACGTTTTTCTAAATTAACAATAAAAAACGAAACGAAATATAATCACTTTGCCATTACATACAAAACTGAACTATTTTAATAGCTGGAACAGTCGTATAAGCTGTTTTGAGAGAAGGGGGGAAAAAAGACGGGCTCGGGTCGGACTCGGGCCGGTAATTCTGATAAGCTGTCGGACACGGGCCGGGCTAGGGCCTAAATCAGAGGCCCGTGCAGGGCTCTAGGATGGAGAGATGTCGCTGCGTGTTATAGCTATTAATATTAACATTCCTGTTGGTTTAAATGGTCGGCCATCCGGGGCCCCCAGGCATTTGCCTGCCTTGCCTGCCCCATTGCTATGCCTATAGCAAGGGTCCTTACATGATCAAGGTCCAGAAATGTAGTCGGTAAAATAATCCATGTGACATCAGGGGTTCAACCGGGAATACTTTTTGTGCAAAAAAAAGAAGAAAAATAATGACTTTATTCAACAGTTTGTCTCCTCCACGTCACCCTAGCGCCAACGCGGAGGAGACGAATTGTTGAATAAAGTATTTTTTTTCTTCTTCTTTTGCACACAAAATGTATTCTCGTAGCTTTGTAAAATCACGGTTGAACTTGAACCCCTGATGTCATATGGATTATTTTACCAATCTCCTTGCTACGTTTCTGGACCTCGATCATGTAAGGACTCTTGCTGTCTATTGGAGGGTCAGAGAGCTTTCGGATTCCATCAAAAATATCTTAATTTGTGTTCCGAAGACTGGCTGAGGTGGGCCAGATCAAGAACAGGCCTTAAGGGTGATTCGAAACCCTTATCCGCTATCAAATTAACTGATTATTTAAATTATTAAAGCGAAAGAAGAACATACTCTTTTGTTTTGGTGATTAAACGAAATGTTCCCATATCGTGTGTTTTGATTGCTTGCGTGAAAGGAAACGTGTACAAACGTAAAGATGATAACAGGTTTCAATATCCACCACATTATGGGATGAATACCAAAACGACAAATAAAGAGATATCAGATGTGCATTGCACTGATTTATATCGGTCACTACCGGCTGCGTTTTATCTCCCTTCCTCGTTTCGACGTCAGGCTCTTTCTAGCTCCTCCTCTTCATCCTCAACTGACTGCCTCAATCTTGGACAGTGTAGCCTACTCACAGTATACTCCCAACAATAAAAAATTTTCCTGCCTGCTGATATTCGCCTCATCGCTCCATCCCCTCCAGAACAATGGTGAGTAGAATAATTTTCCGTTGCTTTTCAAATTAACGACGCGCCAAAGGTTTTCGGCCATAAATGTGCGTGTCGTTTAATCCTTGTCTGTTATTTTTTCAAAGCAGCTCGAGCGGCTTTTCTTTGTCATTCAGCCCGCGTCCTTTGCTTAAAATGGAGGCAAACTCGCGACATTGCAACTACGTAACGCCGCAAAAGATTTTTTTTAATAAGTAATCTTAGGCATTGTGTAATGCACAGAATTATACATTTAAAAATACTAGTCGTACTACATGCATTCAGTTTATAAATGCCTTTGCAAACGCCTACAGAATTACATTCATCCATCCATCAATCCATCCATTCATTCATTCACCCATCCATAACGGTGCCTTCAGAATATGTTTGAAAATATGCGTTGTTTTTCAAATGCTTTTATAAATGACACGATCGTGAGTTTTTAATGATGCACATTATTAAATAGTGAAACATTTCACATCAATTTAGTAGTACACCTGTTTTGAAGGCGCATCTCCAAAACCACCGTACATGATGAAATATTTTTTGACATATGCATGTGAAATTATGAGCCCGGTCTCATGAAAATGCGTATAAATAGTACGCCAAATAAAAACGAAAACTCGTGGTATTGATACGCAAAAATGGACTTTGGGGTGCATATGATACGCATGTGTTTGGCGTGCTTATAATACGCAGTTTTCGCGTGCATATGATACGAAATTTGTTGGCGTGCATATGATACGCATCTACCCCACAACCCTAAACCTACCCATCGCGTAGCATATACACGACAAAGTCCATTTTTGCGTATCAATACCACGAGTTTTCGTTTTTATTTGGCGTACTATTTATACGCACTTTAATGAGATCGGGTTGGAAATTATAGCCAAAATAGTATGCATTATCTCCATCTCAGATATTAGGCTATATATACACGATATAATATAATATTAATATTAAATTAAAATGGCAGCTTAATTAAAATCACAATGTATTATAGTTAATAAATGTGACTTAATATCTTTAAAAAAATGCACAGATGGATTTTTTTGTCACAAGCTCTCTGTCATCAGAGATTGACATTGAATTTTCTTGAAATTTGCATCCACCCCTCCTCCCATCCACATGAGAAGTAAACTGGGTGGGGACTGCAGCTGTCTGCAGAAGCTCATGTCTGGCCTGTGCAGCAGATGATTGGATTTCTATTCCTGTTCTGTTCCACAGCTGTTATTGTCTCCATTGAAATTTTACAATAAATGCTTTCATGCATTTCATTATTTTGCAAAATTTGTTTTTATTAAATTTCTGGGACCTGTCTTTTTTTTCATCACGCTGTCTCTTAGGGAACAGTGCATCTAAATATTAGTGGTGACCAAATATGAAAATAAAGAAAAATGTTCATTTAAAAACCCATATTCATCAAGCAGCATTCTGGATTCCCTTCAAATGGTGTTACAGCCATTGAGAAAATTCAGTTTCTGCTTCTAAAAACCTACTTAAAATAAATATTGTTCCTTTATTGAAATCCATAGTCTTATGTAGACCGTTGAGATGACATAAATGGGAAAAGGTGGATTTCTGTCAACATTTTTATTGTTCTCTTTCAACTGCTAGTCAGGCACAGTCTGGTAAGCCTGTACTATGTGGGTGGGGCATCTGCCTTGTTCCCATTCTGCTGCCTCATTCCCTTTGAATAAAGAGAACTGACTGCTTTCTTTGTTCTTCCTTTTTGGTAACCTACTAAATCTTTATCATGCTAGTTCACTTCTTGTATGTCTGTCCTTAAGATAAATATCATTTTGCAGGTGTTTACAATGCATTTATGATTCCAAAGAAAGACTTTTAGACGTTTATGGTACATTTCTGTAGCAATGTCAGTTTTGTGTCTATTGTTGTACCCAAAATATTAAACACATGCAAATGTCAACAGAATGATGGTGCAAAAGAAGCCTTTGTGTGTGTTTTAAGAGCCAACAACCTAATAAAAAAGATTTTCCCATTCCTTTGTGGAGGAGGTGATGATTCCTTCAACACCTTCTTCAGTGAGACCGGAGCTGGAAAGCACGTCCCCAGGGCTGTGTTTGTAGACCTGGAGCCCACTGTCATTGGTAAGAGGATGGGACTTAATTTTAGTTATGATAATTCTGTATGTCAAAGCGCTCCGTTCGCTATACATTGACCATCTTTCCAGATGAGGTGCGCACTGGTACATACCGTCAGCTGTTCCACCCTGAGCAGCTCATCACTGGAAAGGAAGATGCTGCTAATAACTACGCCCGTGGTCACTACACTATTGGAAAGGAAATTATTGACCTGGTGCTGGACAGGATTCGCAAACTGGTAGGTAGTTGTAAATAAATGAACATAACATGAATTATATATTATGTTGGGTTAATTTCCAAACTGTTTCTTTTCAGGCTGACCAGTGCCTAAAGTGCAGAGGGCCGTGTGCATGCTGAGCAACACCACAGCTATTGCTGAGGCCTGGGCTCGTCTCGATCATAAGTTCGATCTGATGTACGCCAAGCGTGCCTTTGTGCACTGGTATGTGGGTGAGGGTATGGAGGAGGGCGAGTTCTCAGAGGCCAGAGAGGACATGGCTGCCCTGGAGAAAGATTATGAGGAGGTCGGTGTTGATTCTGTTGAGGGTGAGGGAGAAGAGGAGGGTGAGGAGTATTAAAATGTTCACTAAATGTCTAAAATTAAAAACAGTAGACCGGTAATTTACACACGATATACATGAGGTATCAAGTGTAAAGTCTACTCCTAAATGTTAGAGACACATTCTTGATAAGTTGTTATTTGTGGAATTTACTTGCCAAATTTTGACTGAATAAATTGATGGTGATGTAAAAAAAATCTGTCTGTGTGCAGTTCTTTAAAAATCTTTCTTGTGGATGTTAATATAAGCTGACGGTTTTAAGTAATTCCAGGCATTCAAGAGAAGTAATCTGCTTACTAACCAGTTTCCACAGGTCAACTGATGGCCTTTGACAGGTTTGGCTTCCAACCACTTCGGCTGAAGGAAAAGTAGATTAGTAGTCACTCAGCAGTCGGTATTTAGGGCATTATTGTTTTTTAGGGAGGTGCAAATGAGTTACAGCAGTGGTATGCATGAATGAAGGAAAGCAGGTCATGGTATCAAAAGGTCTTGTAGTAAAAAGCCTGTGAAACTGGTATAATTTTGGAAAATACCGTGATATAAATTTTTGGTCATACCGCCCAGCACTTATATATATATATATATATAATCCAGAAAATCTGCCACCAATGTCTAAGATGAAAAAAGGCCAGAAAGTAATAGCAGCTTTTGTGATATTTTATTCAATTGCTTGAAAAATGCTTGTTGGACAATTTTTTTTTTCTTCAAAATAAAAATTACAGTACAGAATTCTATGTAATGTAATTAAAAACATGCCTTTGTAGAAAAAGGATTTGGGTTCAAATGTGTATAAAAGAATACAAAATCTCAATTCAAATATTAAAGAGTAAAAAAATGGGTTAGATGCTTTTACGCTATTCAACATAGTGCTAATGTAACTTTAAATTTGAATTTTGAAGGTTTTAAAGGAAAATTCACACTACTCCTTTTTTCTGATCTGCCGTCTGCTGGTTCATCAGACTCCAGAAGAGCACTGGCATTGAGCTCACGCCAGTGTCTTTGGATTGGCATGCAGCAGCATCCTCAGTCAGCCTTTGATACCCTTTAAGACGCCTAGAAAGTTGCAAAAACAAGGCCAGTTAGTGCTTTCCAACCAGTTTTACCAGTTAATGTTCACAATAATTTGATTACTGATTAAGCTTTAGGAAATCTAGAGGAGCAGGTTGAAAAATTAATTATAATTCATGAATAATTCATGCCAGTTTACTAAATCAGTGCATTGATATTATGCTGTATTGGAATGACTTACTTATATGCAAAAGCCACAGCACCTATTGCTGATATGATGGTCAGGATGCCCAACAAAAGGGCAGCGGCACCTGCAAATGTCAACCTGGAACCTTCTAAATGTTGCAGAGAAATAGAGACATGTAAGATGAATAAACAGCACTGCTATCATTTTGGAGCACCATGCTTTATGTTTCAACCGTAAATAAATGAACTCACCTATGTTAATATTAACCCTGGCATTTGTGAATGCCAAACTGACATCATTTGTCATTGACACGTTGACACAGAAGATCCCAGAGTCATTGAAGTAGTGTCGGAGGATGAGTTGGCAGTCTGAGGAGGGGCTAACAGCATTGCAGATGGTCATAACTGGCACATGGCAGTCAGCATCTGATACTACAGTACACACTTCAGTGGGGAGGCTAGAAAGAGGAGGTAAGGTCATGAATTCTCCATCAGGCTGTATTCTGTGGTTCCATCTACATTTTTTTTGCCAGATCTCACCTTCCTTGGCAGGAAACGGTGAAATCAACAGCATTCTGCTCCATTTCTGTTAGCAGAAAACCATCAGGTACAGCCACCTGGACGATCTGCACACTCTCAATGCCCTCTGAGAACACAAATTTACATTACTCTTCAATATAAAACATAAAATTGAATGCTGTCGAAGGGAGGAATCTCACCAATAATCTAAATATTAGTTGAGAAGGATCCATAGCGGTAAATCACACAGTCATTTGTGTTTGGAGCCTGACGCTTTATTATTGATACATGGGCCTGGTCTTCAATGTAGTCTTCCTCCGCCGTTGCCTCCCTGTCAGCGGCTGGTGTTTCGGAAATGTGTTTAAATTTATATTAATATATTATTTTTGTATTATATATATTATTAATAATATATAAAGTTAATTAACATTATTACGTAAATGTATTTACATAGTATATAATTTATATTTATATTAATTATATTAACTGACATTCAAAATATCTCGTAACTGCAACTCACCAGTTGCCCTCAGTGTTGTCTTTGTTGCAGTATTCATCATTTCAGACATCTCAGATGCAGATCTAAGATCAAAGACCTTCTCAAGGCTGGATCTTGTTGGAACTCCATTTGTAGGTGCGGGTGGAATAGTTTTCATTGTAGATGCAGGTGTGGATTTCTGAATGGGAGCTGAAGACTTACTGGTAGCATGATCTGTTGAATCATGTAGTAAATGATAAGTACTGTGACTTCTACTCTGGCTGGAATTAGCTTTGATTATTTTCTATGTCATGCTCTCTAATATTGCACACAGGCATAGTCAATGTCACAAATAAACAGTCAAATGTTGTTAGAGAGATTTTTTTATTTTTCTTGCCCCACTGGCAGATATTTTTACTTGTTTTAAGCACAAACGATCAAAATTTGAATATTGTTTTTCAGAAAACAAGTCATAATATCTTAAGTAATTTTACTTCTCAAGCAAATGCATCCTGATTCAAGAATTTGTAGATATTTATACTAGAAAACAAGACAAAAACACTCAGTAGACCCCTCCTTCCTTAAAGGGATAGTTCAGCCAAAAATTAAAATTCTGTCATTAAAGGGGTCATATGATGCTGCTAAAAAGAACATTATTTTGTGTATTTGGTGTAATGAAATGTGTTTATGCGGTTTAAAGTAAAAAAAAAACATTATTTTCCACATACTGTACATTATTGTTTCTCCTCTATGCCCCGCCTTTTTGAAACGCGTCGATTTTTACAAAGCTCATCGGTCTGAAAAAGCGAGGTGTGCTGTGATTGGCCAGCTA